TCCTAAAATGAAAAGTGTGATGGGCCGATGGAGTCAGATGTTAAAGGAACATTTACATTGATGAAAGACAAAGCAGATGGTGCTGATGTTAAAAGGAATTGTCTCGGGAGAGAGAAGCCTTGGACAGAACTCACTTTGCTGACCCAAGGAGAGAAAATGGAGGTAGCTGATATGACTAAACTCTAAATCGGCCAGTCTGGAATGATCACAGAGAATCTGTTATCTTGTACAAAAGTGCAGGCCTATACTAAAACATCTTTTATGTGATGTGTTGTTAAATGTGTCTTTTATGTTTGGTTTAGAAGATGAATGTATTGATTTATCTATAATCTATCTATTCCCCCTCCTCCTATTGGTCAACCCACCTTAAGTATGGAGTGAAAATTGTAAAGTGACTTTGAGCAAGAAAAGACTAATGCATTATTATTATTTCACAAATACCTTGCATGTTAAAAGAAACTGTGTCTTTTTAAACTTAAGGTACCTTCCTCTATCTCTGATTTTCATTTGAAATATTGAGATATTGAGATGTGGTTTGACTTGCCAAGAGCTGGGGCAAAGAGTCATTCACTTGGACTCATTTACTAAGGAAAATTCATATTTGTCATTTCACAAAACATACTGAGTGTACCCATGGTAACACAAGCTTGTGTCCACTCCTCTCCAAAAGTTAAGCACCTATCAACTAAACAAAGCCCTAGTCATGTGAAACCTCTTCACTTGATAATGAAAAATAATGAAATAATGAAAACATGGGCCATTCCCATTCAGCTGGAAATTTTCACATTAAATAACATATTTTATATAAAACTACACTGTTGCAACTATTGTCATCCACTACGGTTCACTTTATGGGGTTTTAATGGGTAAAATATGTTATAATAGTATTCATTTTCCAGATACAGTAATAAATAATATCACCACTTTGACTATTAAACCAGGTCCATTATGCAAAATTGACATCTTCTGAGCTTTTAACCATGATATAGTTCTCATTTCACAGTTGTTTTGAAAAAAATAAAAATAAAAATAAATAAATAAATCCATTACTTGCTAGTGTGATCTGCAGCTATCCATAAGAGGGGCCGACAGCTACACAACTCTTTGTTGTGATGACGGTTAGGGCACATCAGCTCCCACTGGGCAGCACAGTTAATGTGGAAGTCAGCAGAGTTGTTTGAATATTGCGATTTAAAATGTGCAGATTATAACATAATGATTCATGGGTGTCACAGCAGACACAAGCACAACTGATCTTCTGTAAGGCTTGAAATTTTAACAGTTTTAGTCCATGTGCTGCTCCAAGCCTGGACACAAATTCACCCCAGTCAGAATTAATAGTTATATATTTAAAAAAATAAAAAGGTATAGCATGATAGCATGAGATTTAAATGTCTATCCATTAATAACCTCTGGGAGCATCCTTCTTACGTAAAGTTTTTGCTTCCACTTAGTCTGGACATGTGCTTGCATTTTGTTTTAGACCTTAATGTACTCCAGCTAATCCCCATTGGTCCTCTTAAACTCTGGTTTTAGTGATGACTGCTTTGGCCTTAGTGTGAGTGGTTCTGCATAATTAATATAAAAGTACGTTTATGCATGACAAGTAAAGAAGCCGCTGATTCAGGTAGTGAAGACATTTAATAAGTGGTACTATGTTCTTATATAATATCTATATTCTTACCCTTCTAATCGACTACAGATGCTTCTAATCATGTGCTTTTTCCCCTAAATCTTTTCAGTGTGCTAATATCTCCTTGAGTGGAAAACAGCTCATGGACTGTGCCTTTTGTGGACCACCATCTATTTCTGTGGGGCAGCTACTTTCATTTTATGTGTTCATTCCCTTTATTTATGCACACTTTCTCTCTAAGCAAACAATCTTTTCAATAATCATGACATGTGGTTTTGTATGTGTTAAAATGACATTTTGTTTTACTGTTTATAGTAAATGGACTAGAACACTTTTGAAATGGCTTATGCACTCACAGGGTATAGTGCAGGTCGAAGTCTTAAGAGGCTTTGGGATTAAAGCACCTCGATCATGCAGGAGCGAGAAGCCTACCTGACGCAGCGTGAGCGCGCTCTAGACGTCTCTGTCCAGCTGTGCCTTTGCATCCATATATAGTCCTGTGTAATCTGTGACTGCCTTGCTCACGTTGGAATATCGTTTGTGTTCCTGTGTGTAGATACAAAACTCTAGGCTGAAAACTTGGCTGCTCTGTGCACACTAAACACCGCACACTTTTTTCTCATCTTTAGCATTTTTTTTTCTTTGCCATCAGCAGCATTAATACAGTTGTCCTCTTTGTGCAGGTATAATACATGCGAATAAATGTGGCCTGTTTTGTTTATCACAGCTACAGAACATGCGACCAAAGCATCACTAGCGCCCCTCATTAAGAGCAGAGGGAGGGGGAAACCTGGAGTCAGCGCTGTAGTTACCGCAGGGGAAAATGTGTCATGCAAAGTTTGTGCAGATCTCTAATCAGAGAGAACGGACAGAATTAGAGCGGGAATGATGTTTCTATATGCATCAGTTGGAAGAAAGTAAAACAGAGGAATACTGTCTGAACATGATCTGCTGTGCACCGGTGACATAAGTATTGGTGGGGACACACCAATATATGTAAAGTTACGCCTATTGTTTAACACACAAACCCTGCATACTTAGATGATCTTCCTCAAGATGAAAAACTCTGTTCTACCTTGTGATGTTATGTGGTAATACTCCACTGTGTTTTTAAACTCAATACACCTTCACTAGAATCATTTGGATAATTTCAGTCCTGGAATTGAGAATCTTTACTGAACTAAAAAGTAAAAGGTATCTACAACTTCATGACATCACAAGGTGGAACAGAGCATTTTGAGCTTTGGTGATGTAGACAGGCTAATAACAAATGATTACTCAAACATGTGTACATGAAACAAAACACAACTCCAGGTATGTTTTTGATGAGATAACAACATAACATGGCTTACACCAGTCAATTTTACATAATATAGGCCTTTTAATTTATGAAATATATTTTAATTATTATTTTCTCCTTAATCAAGCAGCCCTAGTAAGTAATGTGAAACATTATAGGCACTGCATTAACACAGCGCCCCTTCAATATCAAGTTCTCATCACACATGACATAATTTTCTGCCTTTTTATCCAATTACTTTTCACTGTCAGCTTGACGTTTTCTTGTTTGTAATGTGACAGTATCTACTTGAAGACTGTTCTAAGCTGTTTAAAAGATGCAAAACCTGCCACCTCTGTGATTGTGGGTAAATTATGACAAGAACAAAAGGTTAAATGTGAGAAATTATGCAAACAATGAATTATGATGCACTGAAGAAGACAGAAATCAGGCAAGGAAAGGGCACGGTCTGAAACTATTCTTTGGTTATTTGTTCAGCTATATACAAGGACTCAAACTTTTGTTCACATATTGTAATATCAGTGTCATTGTAGAGTTTTACGCTTGTGTTATTTCAGCCCAGTATGGTACAATGCACATTAGCACTCACTTAATCAGTATCAGTTCAACTGTATGGACAACATGTGCACTTTTTAATGTTAAAGGTGCACTATGTAACTTTACTCATGGAGGGTCCATCAAACGTTATTGCTTTCTCTGGAATGTTTCACAGTATGGTATTTAAATTTCTATCATCACAATGACGAAACCAGATCTAGTTACAGGTCAGATCGGTGGAGAGGCAACCCCGCTCACAGTCAGAGTGCCTGCTTTTCAATTGCTGTAACTGAATAAATTTAAGGTAGAACTGTTTAACGTCATACTGTGGAACCTTTCAGGCAGAGCAATGGTGTATCCATGGAAACAAGCAGGTGACGGACCCCCAAATAAAAAAAAAATACATATTTCACCTATAGATTTTTAGATACAGTGTTTAACTTATAATATAAAACCATGTATAAAAGCATCTATTTCCATAAAATCATGGAGTTGACTTTCCACCCTCAGACCGTTACACACATACATCACTTTAAGGTGCACTTTATTGTTCTCCTATGGAAATTTGTCCACTTGACCCTTTTTTCAAAGCCACTTGAACCTGCAGCCTGCCAGGAACAGTGAGCGCCACACTGCCCAGGGACTTACCTCCAGATCGAGAGCAAGGCTTTGGTGAGGACTACTTTAGCTGGAGGATTGAATCTATCATGTATTGTTTTGTTTTTCCACTTGGCATTGGTGCTATGCTAACACATGCAAATTTTTAATCATTTGATTAAGTTTAGGGCTTTGGGACAGGTTTAGGGAGCGGGTATTGGAAGAACTTTTGGGGGGAAAAGATTGATGCGCACGAGGGTATTCAATTATTTTCCAAGGGCATTTAACCAGGCAGACCACCACTCATTCTCAAGCAGACCTTGGATTTTCTATGTGGGATTTACAAATAAGAAAATTCTAATCATGCAAGGAACAGCAGAGTGACTATGAAAACACATTTTTCACATTTTAAAAGCGGGATAATATTTTTTGCATGTAATGAATTATCTTGAAAAATCATGGTTCTAAATGTGTGTGTATATGATGGTACATGGATGGTAAATCTAAGAACTAAAACAATTGTCATACAAGTTCACGCCATGGCTTTTAATATGTGTACTACTTCAAGTTATAATGAATTAACTACAGTGTTAAATGTCAGAATAATCACATTCAAATAAAAATTTTAAATGTCACAATTTGAAAATTGCAAACACTGCAGTTCAAAATCTCCAGTCTCCATGAGCTCTAACATACAACACCTGCTGACCTTGTTTAAACCTCTTTGACACTTTCTGAAATTCACGTATTAGGTCTTCACAAGAACTAAACTAGGACTGAAATGGGTCTAAACTAGGACTAAACCAGGACTATTAGCTTAAGGTAACATTCTTTTCTGTCTCTAGTCCTGATTCGAGGAAAATGTTCTATGTACTATAATAAATACAGCATACATATCGTTCATTTATATAGTCATTTTGTGTGTTTGTGCAGGATGCATAACAGACTGGGATCATATAAACTGCTGGTTGAGAGCTGAGATCGGACAGGTGGTCAACGTCTCCTGCTCTGAAGTCTTTCAACATTTCACCAGCAACCAAGGTTTGTCAACACACCCACTGTTCAAATAATGTGAAGTTGGTAAATCAAAGTGTGTTCTATGGCACTCATTGGTTGGCCTGTAATTTCTGTAATAGGCCCAGTTCTTCTCTCAAACAGAAAACAACTCTGTTTCACCTTGTAATGTCATGAGGTAATACATGAAGTGCTCCACTGTGTTTTTAAACTCCATACACCTTCACTCGAATCATTTGGATAATTTCAGCCCTGGAATTGCAAATGTCTACTGAACATAAAAAGGTAAACATAAAAGGTAGTTATTCTGCTGAAAACTACCACTATGACATCACAAGGTGCACAGAGCATTTTGAGCTTTGGGGATGTAGATTAATAATGTGATTACACAAATGTGTGTGAATAAAACAAAACACACCACCAGGTGTGTTTTTTAATACACAATAATTCATTTTGTGCAATACAGAATCTTTCATTATTGGGGTTAACATGACATTTACATTACATCCAATCATGCTTTTGGATTAACAATTAATGAGAAGATTTTTTTGCCATTTTGTGATAAGAGCCATTCTGATTGGTCTGCACTGCTTCCAGCATTTCCACGCGAACGTCAGCTGACCAAAATATACTAACACAGAAACCCAATTCTTCTTCTGTGACTACTTTTCATTTCATGGTTATTCCTTTGTCCTCATATTGCTGTTTTTTTTTTATTTTTACAATGTTTTAATGTTGCAACCTCTCATCAGCATACCCAGAGTTGTGTTTTGTTTCATTCACACATGTGTGAGTAACCCTTTATTATTAGTCTGTCTATATTTCCAAAGCTGAAAATTGTTTGTTCCACCTTGTGATGCCATGTAGTGGTAGTTTTCAGTTCAGTAGAGATTGGCAATTCATTGGCTGAATTTATCCAAATGATTCTAGTGAAGGTGTATGAGGTTCAAAAACACAATGGAGCACTTCCTGTATTAATGCATGACATCACAAAAGTTTTTTGAGAAAAGAACTACACCTAAATATGAAACATTTGTGTGTTAAACATGTGTAAATGAAACAAACCATAACTCCAGGCATCTTTTTGATGAGGAAACATTAGAACACAGATCAGAAAATAATGTAATATGGGCCCTTTAAACATGTTGGAGATTAAACAATACTGAAATATGAACTACTAAACCACATGAATACCACACATCAGCACATTGTAGATATTTGGTTGTTTGCTGAGAGCTTTCTACATAATGATAACGTTTACAACTTAATTATTGTGATAATTCAATTGCTGATTCATTTTGCAAAGCATATGATTGTTGGACATAGTTTCTGATCCTGCAGGTCTAAATTACATTATATTTATGTGATTTAGACCTGTTACTTTGTTTGTCTAAATGCCTTGCTATTTTTATCCACAGGAAAACAAGGAATGCATTGGACAATTTCCATGTGAACTTTCTAATCAGAAAGACAATCAAACCTATGCGGAAATAACAGCGATGTGAGCCAATTTTAGCGCTTTGCTAAATAAGGTTATCTTTCGTAGCTAATCTGCCATGAAAGATGGAGTCATTCTGATGAAGCAGGGCACCATACATTATTCATTATTTGTGTTGGTTGGCAGCTCTATAAGCTCAGGGAGATGGCTCTGGCACAAGAAGTGACGTGAAAATGTTGTGAGTTCATGCATCACAGCCTGAAGTTTTCCAGGACTGCTGAGGTAAAGAATGGACCCAGGCAAAAAATAAAAAGTGTGACAACAAGGACAGTCTATAAACAGGGAATATACTTGAGATGCCTCCCAATGTGGAACATACTTTGAATGAATGAGTTATATTGCACTACTGCTACCATAACGCACAGTGGAGCTAAAATTACTTGTTCCAAAAATACTGCAAACGCTTCAAATATGCATTTCAGATTTGCATATGAATTGTTCATTTTCACTGACTGCGAAACTATTGCCCCTCGGGGACCTAATAAAGTGGTGATGTTTCTCAGAGGAAACCAGGAGCAGATCAGAAGTTTTAAGTGTGTGCAACAGGTTTTAAAGATGCACTATGTAACTTCTAATATGGAGGGTTCGCTACTTGTTTGTCTCCATGGCATGACATGTTATGTCTTTGCCTGGAATGTTCCACAGTAGGGCATTAAACATATCTCCCTTGCATTTGTTTAATTACATATGTTTTAAAGCTCAAAAATACCTTTAAAAACATGAATTCTTACCATGTGCAGGCTTGCTTCTCCACAGATCTGACCATTAACCTCTTTCCTTTGTAATTACCAAGTTTATTTCCATAATGTGGAATAACTAAGACAAAACAGTAATATGTCCATGGAGACAAACAGGTGGTGGACCCTCCACCAGAAAAGGTCACAGTACACCTTAAAATTTTCAGATTCAAAGGTCTTGAACCTAACACTATCAGTTCTGTAGTTTTGGGAGTCAATTGTCCTGTTGTTAAACCCTGTCAGATCAATATTGTGGTTTATAATGAACAAAATGTAAAATGAGGATATATTTACAGTACTTTTTACTTGGATAAGTAGTACATACACAGAAACGATGCCTTCTTTAACGCAGAACCTTGGCACTTCTTCAATTATCTTATTATGCCTGAAAACTCCAAAGCTATCTAAAATTAAATGAATAAATAAAATAATACAATATTGTGCCTTGGTCTTGAACACATAGTCATAACAATAATAAGTTCATTATTTCTGAATATATTAGGATGTTGAGGTCAAATCTTAGAAGACCAAAGAGACTATTTATGGATGTAGTAAAAGAGGCCATATGAGGCAATTTATTTTATATAGTGGAAAAATGTACAGTAGAGCTACAATTACTCCTTGGATTAAACTGGTTAATATTCATGGAATAGTCTTCACAGAAATTAATCCATGCTTTAATGCTGTCTAAATGGGGTCAGAAAGTGTGTTAAAGATACACTATGTAACATTTTTAGTGCAGAGTCCATAATACAGAGGCTCCATTGCGATATTATTGCCTTGTCTGGAATATTTATGGCGTTAAACTACCTTGTATGTGTGTTTTTTATACTTTGGGCTTGCCTCATCACAGATCTAGTCTGTCCCTTTACCTGGTGCGTCTTTATAAATCAACGACATCTCCATGGAGACGAGCAGTGTCATACCCTCCACCACCAGAAAACTAGGGCACCTTTTAAATGGGTTGTTAGCACGGTCTAGTTAGCAACCACTTGTTTTATGTGGCCGTGGTGATTAGCCAAGGATCTGAGTGTTTTCTCCTGGTTGCGGTGAAATGAAAATCGTTTCTCGTCAATGATAACAAACTTGGCTTTCATGTGGCAGTGAAAAACGCAATTATCAGCAGAACCCTATTTGCTCAGCTTAAACAGACGTACCAATGTCTTTACTCAAACTGAATGATGAACAATGGAACTAATGGGGAGCTGTGCTTATTGTACCCGCCCACTCCAGTCAAAGCCTGGCTCATCCCTCTGCGGTCAACTAAACGAACACAAGACAGCAAGCAATGCGGAACCACAGATACGAGTTTTACACCAGAGTGCACAGATGTAAACACTCACTGGGGTTAAGCAGAAGCATGTTCACAGCAACTGCAGGACAAGATATTAAAGGAGGTATATTGTACTATTCTTTAGGTGTGTAACGGTACACAAAAATTACAGTTTGGTGTGTTCCTCGGTTTTGAGGTCACAGTTCGGTTCATTTTTGGTACAGTATGGGAACAAAATGCAAAACCATGTGCTTGTTTTTTTAGTTGTGTGTGTGTTATTAAACCAATAATTTGTTTTAACATTATACAAACGGGAAAATAAAATAAATGCAAAGTGCTGCTTGCTAATATTAATAAGTTAAATAAAATATTCTCAAATAAGCAACAAATGTATGAAATATTATAAAAAAAAACAAAAAAAAAACTTGTACAGTACAGAAGAGTAAACAAAAGTTTTCAAACAATTAAGTGCAGCACTAACAGTTTCAGCATGAAGTTTTCCTCAGTCAGAAAAAATAAGGGAGGGACTGGCTTAGATTCCATGTGAAAGGCGAAAATGAGGCTCAACAACCATAGTTTTGTGAGGATCCACATAGTTAGGAGGGACGTAGTCCAGGCGGAGGGCAATTGTTGTCAAGGTGGTCGCCCTAACTATAAAGCTGGAAACACTGCCACCCCAATCAAGGACAAGTTCCCTCATGAATATTGAAGAGCCGAGTCTTCCTTTTAGCTGCACATGTAGTGGCGGAATGTAAACACACACAAATTGTACAAATTCATGTGCACTGCCCGGCACCGAACTGAGCAAATACATGTACCGTTGCACCCCTACTACTCTTTGTTAATCAGTATAAAACTATAACATAAGTAGATCATTCTTTTATATGTTATGGTTTCCAAATGGCCTAATTATTTGCTGCTATGAGTTTATAAGTGTTTTTCACAACTTTCAGAGACCAGAGGGGACCAACTGTTGCAGCTACCATAAAGCTAAAAAGGAATGCACTGATATCGATACTGTGATGAATATCGTCACAAATACTGTACATTTTATTGGGTCAGATGATATCCTGGTTGGGCCTTTAACTGGATATAATAAGATTACAGACTTTGGACTTGGATATCTCATGTTTAAATTTATATTCACATGAAGCTGTTCTGTAGTTCTTTGAAGGATAAATAACATAAAAGTTCCATAACACCACAGGATCTCTGGTGTAATAAGTTAACTTTGTTTTAAGGAAATAAGTGCCATTTTCCATTTCTACACTGGTATCGGTTGATTCCAGGTATCCACACATACTTAAAGTATCGTTATACGATTGGAACAGAAAAAGTTGGATTGGTGCATCCCTAAAGCTAAGAACAACTGGCATGCTAACTCGCACTTCCTGTTTATAGAACAAGAAAACACTTTATTATTAGACGCCGGCAGTACACAGCAGGCTTATTTTGACCTGAAAAAGAGCTGATTATACAGTATATCAGTACTGGGGCAAGACGATTTTTGCTCAGATAAATCAGAAAAAATCGGGTTCAGAACCTTTAGGAATAAATGCTGGTTCATTAACATCCTTTTCAAAATTACAGAACTGTGAAGCCCTGCCTCTTCATAGGGTCATTTCATTACTGTTAAAAAATGACCACGTGACATTTTATGAGCCCTTAATCCGTGAATGCAGAACAATACCAGATCATTCAAGAGAGGGAATGGAGTTATACAAGGATAAAAGCTGGCTAGAGTTTATTTTTACACGGTATGTCCCCTTCAGTGTAGGCAGGTTGCATGAAGAGATGATGACATAGATTGAATTGGTGAAGATGGATGGGCTCTTGGTAAAGAAACAGACCAGGGCTAGCATAGGGCCACCACAGATAAAACAAATGCACTGTTTATTGAACTATGACAAGTGAGACAAAGCGCTCAACTGGTGAAGATGCAGTAATAAGGTTTGCAGCCACAATCTCTGAGGATCATAGATGCTTTGCTGTTGGTAATCCATCATTCACTTATGCCGTGGGATTAAGAACGATCACATTTTATACATAAATAAATTAGTGGAAAAGCTCTGATTTAAGTGTACTCCTTCAGGCTAAAACAGTATGAAAAATTAATATGCAAAAAGGAAAAGGTTTAAAATATTACAAGAGAAAACCAATTTGTCTATTTGGTTGAAAATGTTTAGGATTTTTAATTATACTGAAAATCCCAGTCTTGGATTTAGTATGTCTTTAAGAAGATTTATCAGATACATTTTGCTACACATTTTTTTTTTTTTACCCAAATAGAAAGTGCTGTTTTCTCTTTTAACTAAGCTCCTCTTTCTTCAACTGAGGACATGTTGTCAGTAATCCTTTAAAAATCTGTATTTTGCATGTACCCACACAGCACTCTTAATCCTTTTATTCTTGATTTAAAATAGATTTTTTTTAAATAATTTGATTTGACAAATCATGGCACAACTGTCATGTTACCATAGGGATGGGAGCTAAAAATATGTATGTCGTATATGTCCGAACTAGCTCTTATGTTTTTAACGGTTCATATTACTGCATTAAACTAGGGCTGTAGCCATTCAGTGGTTTAGACAGTTCATTTGCCCGACTGGCACATCTCATCAGATCTCAGAAACTAACCAGGGTGATTGTTGCTGCGTCTTTAGGCAAGACACTTCCCTGACCTTGCCTAGTGTAAAACTGGTGTGTGAGTGAGTGTTTGTGGAGGTCAGAGAGGCACAGATCCTCATTTCCTTCAGTCTCCCCCAGGGCAGCTGTGGCTCCTATAGTAGCTTAAAACCACCCAGTGTGGAGTGAATGAATAATGCTCACTGTAAAGTGCTTTGGCTACATAAATTCAGTATAGCATTATTTCTAATTGGTTGATTACTTTTTTGTTGTTGCCAGATTATAAGGATTGATATGAATCAAAGCAGAGCGGAGAATGCAAAGAGTGGAGTTTTGTGGTGACTTGAGTTCAATCTGTGTGTTCACTTATAAAGATGCTGTTTACTTGTACTTCTCATTGTACGTTTTGTACAAAGTCCTAATAATTTTGAGAGTTTTTTTCCACTGCCCTTTGAATTAACTCATGGGAGCACGGGTATATCTTTATTCAACAGCTCTGTTGTGTTTCAGGTTGGGTTTACAGAAACTGCACATCTAAGGGCTGGTCAGAGCTGTACCCCCCCTATGATGAAGTGTGTGAGTTCAGCGAGGACCCCGAGCCCGAGTATGAGGTACTCACCACTCAATATTACTGCTATAACTTTATCTGACTTTTATATTTGGTACACAAACAAACAAATACATCCAATTGTAAGATTGGATGTTTTTGCCATAAATTTGTCACTTTACGATATTACTACAGTATTACAGTATTATATTGTATAGTTTTATGAGATTTTGGCTGACATCACACTCTAGGGACAGTTGTATGAGATGCCTTAATAAACTTGCGTTGATTTACAATTTAATCTATTGAAACTATGGGTTTTTGTAATTGTCTGCATCCAATCCTTATATGAATTGTGCTAATTACAAAAAAAATTAAACCTTAATTAGTTTGCATACATTTCAGAACGCTTTGAGTGTGTAAACAACATGCGCTGCCAAGAGAAGTGAAGTGAAGTAGCTGCAATACATTTTTAATGAATGAAAATACATCTGGAGCCAAAAAGGCCCACAACTCCACAAAGGCAGATTGCTGTGAAATGGCAAAGTTTGTGTGTGCAGTGAATGAGTGGGTAGATGACATTTGTTTAAAAGGTTGTTTATGACCTCTATGTGATTTTAGACTACACCAAATAATGTCTCTACAGATAGGAATATAATGCTATTTTTGTAATATAAATGTGTCCTGAATATTGTTTTAAGAACGTTAAAGTGCCTATGATAGGTTAGGCTACTAATTTTACTAAAACACACAGTTAAAATCATTATATTTAAAGGGGTATTATGTAACTTCAGTAGGGGGTCCGTTACTTTCCGCTTTGAATGTTCCACAATAGGACATTAAATTCAATTGCAGGTGGTTTTAGTGCTCAAAATACCTGGAAAAACAATTAACAAATGAACAAATTAGGAATAAAAACTACAAAACAAAAAACTGAATACATGCAAGATAGATCATTATTATGCTATACTGTGAAACATTCCAGGCAAAATAATAGAAGACAAGTGGCAGACACTCTATGGAAATGAAATTATAATGTTAACTTATGAATATAAAATGCATTGTTAAAGTGTGTTCAACTGACCTTTGTTGATAGAAGAGTCATTTCTTGATTGTTTATTTATATAGTCTGAAATGATTGTACTCTTTTTCAGGATTTCTGGAGCTCAACAAAACATCACTATATGTTCCTGTGACATGTTTTTGCAGTCTTGTCATGTGTTTCTGGTTCTTGTCTTCACACATATCTGCAGACGAGCTACCTCTCCACGTTCAGGCAGGTTTACACTGTGGGCTACGCCACCTCCCTCATCTCCCTCGTCATCGCCATTGTGGTCTTCTCTGCCTTCAGGTAAGACACTTAGATTAAAAAATGGCAAAGACTGCATAGCACTCTAACACTGCAGAAAGTTTAATATTTCCAGGTTAAAATGACTTCAATTGAAGTCAAATTATCTAACAAATTGAACAAGAGTTTTTGTGCTTAAAATACAAAAATGCAACTCTGAACTCTTTGAACTTAAAATAAGAAACTAAATCTTCTGTTGTTGAATCAAGAAAGAAATATTTATTCCATAACTTTTACTTGTCAAGTCAAATCTAGTCAGATATAGATAATAGTAATATAGATATTACTTTTTGCAGTACTGATGACTGATGTTCAGGTTGTTTTTTAATTTTTTTAATTTTGAGATTCATCTGATTTTATTTTTCTTCACAGTAGACTCTCTCTAGACTATCTCTTTTCACATAATTCACTCTGTATTCTATTCATAGTTTCTATTCAAAGACTTTTACCCATTCAAAATAAATATCATATTGTTTTCAATTGTTAATCACTATGGTAACTAGGGGTGTGCAAAAATATTGAAATATCGATATATTGTATTGTAATGTGATGATGCAGTATCAATATTTTTGGCTGCTCTATCGATATATCACCAAGAGTATTTTTTGGTATATTTGACTAAATTATTTTGTTACAGTGCTACAGTTTTGTTGCTTGTTTAGAGGAAGGAAACTCGTTTATGCGACACATTTGACATTTTCACTGTTTTGATGATTAAAATGTGTGTGTTTCATATTCACTTTGCACAAGAACTCGACTAAAAAAGCCTTTAAGTGTCACAGCCATGATTTAGGCTTTATTTTTTATTGAACCGTATTGATCAATTTGAAATATATCGTATCAAATCGAAAGCTCACTGTATTGAGATATGTATCATATCGTGGCTTGTGTATCGAGGTATGTATAGCATCGGCAACTTCTTAATGATACCCAGCTCTAATGGTAACATTCCTAATTTTTATCAGCCCTTGTATACAGAAGATCTTTTAGTTCTGTATGAGTTTCTCCTCTGGCAAAACTCATACAGAACCATCCAATCAGGTTATTTTATTTTAATAACGCATTGGAAACAGGACTTCATTGGCCATTTTCACAGCACAAAATCAAAGTTCTCTTACCTAGAATTTTAAATTTAGTGCTTCTTTCACTGATTGTGCAATGTTTTTCAGTCTTCTGTGTCATTTCTTGATTTTATTTCTTGTATGAGCACCCATATTTGTTTTGATACAAAAGCCCTATGCTTGTCCCTGACTGGCTAATCCACCTGTCAATCACGCCCATCTGAACACATGGAGATATACCACTTCATACCCTTGTCTTGTAGATTGCACAGTTTTATTTTCAATTAGCTATTTTTACAGCACTATTTATAGTTTTTAAATAGATTGTATGCTTGATATTTTAATTTAGCATATTCCCAAAACAACAATTGCATCATTATTGATTTTTCTCCCACCCCTTACGCAGTCTTGTAGGGGATTAAGTAGGATGCCATTAGCTTGTTTAACTAATGAGAGTCAGTGCTGGCAGGCAGAATACTAAACGCTTCACTGATTAATTCATGTCTTCAGACCAGGATTACAACGTGGATTTTCCTCGTGTGTGTCTATCCGACCTGAGACAAGATAATTATTATAATAAAAATAAGTAGAGCTACAATAGTGATCATTATTAAGACTGAACTGTAATAATTATCAGGATCAGAAATGGGTCAAAGACGGAATGATCAAACTATATTCTAAATCAGTAAACCTAAATTGAATACTAACTAAATTGTCTAACACACGAATGTTTCATATTCAGGGTTCTTCTCTCAAACCGAAGGCACTCTGCTCCACCTTGTGATGTCATAAGGTAATACAGAAAGTGCTCCACTGTGTTTTTAAACTCCACACACTTCACTAGAATCATTTGGATGATTTCAGCTCTGGAATTGCTATTCTCTGCTGAACAAAATGTAAACCATAACTGTTAACGTGAAAACTTCACTTCATGACATCACATGGTGGAACAGAGCATTTTGAGCTTTGGAGATGTATAATAATAAAGGATTACTCAAACATGAATGAAACCAAGTACAACTCTGGATACTTTTTGATGAGCTATATTTTTTATTCTAACATGGCTTAAAGCTCACAGCTTTTTGTATGCACTCAGAAAACTATGAATTACATCTGATTGTTTTTTCTTTTTGTTTTTCATGTTGTTTCAATTACGATAACCCATCCATACTAGCAAGGTTATTTTGTGGTGTTTTGCTAAAGGACACAACAACGAACCACGAAGCAGGTACTGAAGATGTGTATATTCGTTTTAGTGGGTGACTGATCCTTCCTGACATATCGAGTTTTACTATTGACATATTGTTGTATTTTATTATTCTATTATTGATTTTGAAAGCTAGGCACATATTCTAAAAACAGCTGCCTTTTAGTCATGTATGTTCTTGCATGTTTTAGTCTACATTTGAATAAAAAAGAAACCATGTCTCTTTAAAACTCTGACATTGATTTCATTATAAATAATCGAAAATGTCTCAGTGTATCTAAAGTGCGTCATAACATGCTGTACATTATAGTAAGATGTGGCATTTCCTCTCACCCATAGTATTAATTACATCAAAGCTTTCAGCTCCAGATGGTTGGGGTAATGATTTGCTAAAGCTTTTACCAGCGGTGATAACACTCCTAAAGTCATTAACTACAAACTCATTAGCCTTGTTTTTCGTCTGAAGAGCCAGACACAGACATGCAAACACTGATGTACATCCCTCTGGTGTTTGACTTCTGTTAAAGTTGCACTACGTCACTTTTCTGGTGGTGGTGCACCACTTGCTTTTCTTCATGGGGCTGTTATTGCTTTACTTTTCCAAGGCATAGCATTAAACTTATGTATCTCCATGGAGACAAGTATATGTGTGTGTGTTTTCTACATAAATAAGCTTGAATTGAATTGACAAGCAGATGATGCCATCAGATCAAATTACAGGTCAGATCTGTGGACAGGTGACCCAGCTTACACCAAGAATACATGTTTAATGCCAAACTGTGGAACATGTCACATTTACATGGAATAATTATTACTCATGTAGTGAAGTGAGAATTGTGAGAGCAATTGTCTGAAACATCTACTTTATCATTTTAAGTGAATGTAGTCTGACAGACAAAACATTGATTAGTGTCCAGAACATGGCATCTCCAAAAGATAGACCTCAAATCTGGAGAAGAAACTGAGTCATATCTGACAGCAAGGTGTAAATAATACTATAATAATAATAAAATAAATAATACTAATAATACATATAGTGTTGGTTAGTTGGAGAAAATTAATGTAAAGAATAGAAGAATAGAAAAGAACTGATGTCAGTACAATAGTTGTATAGAATAAGAGACAGGCCTGTTTTAAATGGTAAATGGTCACATTTTTCTATAGCGCTTTTCCACCTTCAAGGCACTCAAAGCGCTTTACAACAAGGAACCACTCACCCATTCACACAGACACTGTGGGCAATGTGGGTTAAGTGTCTTGCCCAAGGACACAACGACAGTATTCATCTGTGGGAGCTGGAATCACACCAGCCAACCTGTGGGTCAGTGGATCTGACCGCTCAACCTGTGATGTTTTTGTCAAGAGCTGGAATCGAACCACCAACCTTCAGATCAGTGGGCAAATGCTCTACCACCTGAGCTACTGCTGCCCACATTTTTATTGTTTTATTGTGCTATTGTGACAAATCCATATTACAAGGCTATGGACCCAGATACATTCATCTTTTGAGGTCATTTTTGCCAGTAAATACATGACGTCAGGGGGCTGTGATCCACTTTACACAGACCTGGCTCAATTAAACCACACTGATGCTTTTTCAAACATGCCAAGGCTCTATTTAGTCTATACAGTGAGATCAGATTCCAAGTCTGTAGTAAATCAAGTCTAAATCCCAAGTCAAACTCTATTATTGGCAGCCAAGCTCAAGCCATTCTACAGATATGTTAATCATTTTAAAGGTGCACTAACTTTTCTGGTTGTTGGTGCACCACCTGTGAGAATCTTGCTTTGCCTACACTGCACTATGAGTTTTTTAACTGAACACTTGTTATCGAATAGATGGATATGTTGAGTGGCTAGCTCTCATGCCTCATGACAAGAGGTTTCCAGGTTCGGTTCCTGTGTCACCCAGGCCTTTCTTTGTGGAATTAGCATGTTCTCTCCATGTAAAGGTGGGCTTCTTCTGGACACTTTCATCAAACCAAAACATGCACCATGGGTAGAATCCACTGCTCCTGACATGCAGAGAATGAATTCCCCTCATGGTGGACTAATAAATATTACTGTACCATATTTTTCAGACTATAAGTCGCTCCGGAGTATAAGTCGTACCAGCCAAAAAAATCAAAGACCAGGAACCGACTTTTATCTTGATAGCCAAATTATAGTAATAACAATAGAAGAGAGAACAACAGGATGTAAACGTCACATATGAACAGTTATTCTGATAACTATAGCATAAACAACAGAACATAAGTTTACCAAACTTTCAATCTCATTCCAAATCATTAAATCCATTGAATTCTTCATCCTCAGTGTCACTTCTGAGCAACTTGGTGACCTCCGGAGGTAAACGGAGCGGCACTTCCTCTTCTGCATAGCTGTCATCAGACTCAGCATCAGTTCCAGTCAGAATTATTCTGGCCTTTCTGAATCCCAAAAGCATAGTTTCAGTTGTCACTGAAGTCCAGGCTTTGTCAATCCATTCAATGACTTCCAGGAAAGTTACATTGCACACCCTCCCAATTGCTGTGAAGCTGTGTTCTTACTCACTCCAAACTTTCTTTCTGCTGCTCAATTACCGTTTTCGGCTGAATATTTCACTACTTGCAGCAGGACAGCGGCTTCGCAGTAGAGTGAAGTGACAGTGGTACAGGAGAAGCAGATACTGACCACAAGCCTAGAGCCTCTCGCGGCTGTCAGTTTAAAAATTTAAATATACTGTTATTGCTTTA